TTGATATGGAGGTTGGACCCTCTGGGAGCCACAAGTGGCTCTGGGAGCTTCAAGCAGCTCCAGGAGCAAGAGTCCCTGGCCCAGGAGAGCACCCCACCCAAGAGATCAGGGACTGATGTAACCCTGCAAGACCCCTCGGGCAATGCTGCTCCCACAGGGCCTGATGCTGAGAGTTCTGGTGAGGGGTCAAGTGCTCCCCCTGGGACTCAATGACTCTCGGTGCCTGATGTGTACAGCTCCTCCTCAGAGTTGGACTTCGATTCTGCCTCTGAGGATCAGTTAACAGAAGTTCTGCCTCAGACAATGTCCCCTGATTCAGTTAAAATGACGAGAACAGACCACCTTCTTTGAGACACTGGCTGACTTTTTTCAGAGCACAGCTGATAATGATGACCTGGGTAGGAACTTTAATTGCACAGTTGAAACGTGTCTTGACCAGAATGGGCTGAAAGCTGAAGACTGCTTTGGAGGCAGTGGACTTTGTTGATGTCTGGCACCATCTCCATGTCGATGCAAGGCAGTATACCTGGCTGAAGGTGACTGCCGTTGGGCTCTCCATGGCATGTCTTGACCGCCTGTACATTGCCAGGCACCACCTATCATTCCTGCACAGCAGCCGCATTACCCCAGCAGGTTTATCAGATCACAGCCTGGTCTGTTGTGCACTGAGCCTTCCTTGCAGGACACACTCCTGGGCACCCTATTGGTGCCTCAATACTAGTCTCTTGCAGGACACTCACTCACGTGACTGCTTTGCTCACTTCTGGCAGACATGGGAGGGCACAAAAGCCACCCTCCCCTCCTGGAAGCTATGATGGGACGTGGGAAAGGTGCAGATTAGAGTTTTCTGTCAGCAGTACATGCAGTTGGCAACAAACGAGCTTTGCTGCCATGTTTGGGAGTTGGAGAAGGATGCAGCGCAGCTTGAGGTGGCTCTGCGTGATGCTGGTGGTGATGCAGGGCTGCTCGAGAGTTCTAAGCTCCACAAGAAACATGCGGGAGCTGGCAGAGAGTGCAGCCTGGGGTGTGAGGGTCTGTGCTCACTGCCAAGAACTGGCAGAAACCGATGCCCTGACTCACTTCTTCAGCCTTGAAAAACAACAAGCTGCACAGAAGGTCATTGACCATCTTAAGACCCCAGACAGCCAGATGCTCACAGATCCTGTTGAGATCTGATGCCGTGCCATCGCCTTCTACCAGGAACTGTTTGCAGCTGAACCAATTTGCCTAGAGTCTACTAGGTGCTTACATGGCAGCCTCCCTAGGCTTTGCTCATCAGAGACTATCTTGAACAGGAACTGTCTTTGGAGGAACTCACAGCTGCTGTCAGGAATTTCACCTTGGGCAAAACCCTTGGCATCGTTGGGTTGCCAAGTTTTATAAGACCTTCTGGCCTCTTCTCAGCTCCTGCCTCCTGCATGTCTTTCATGAGAGTCTCATGGACCAGACAATGCCAACCAGCTGTCGCCAAGCAGTTCTCACCCTGCTGCCTAAGAAAGGAGACCTTGGCTGCATCAAGAACTGATGACCAGTGTCCCTCTTGTGCACTGAATACAAGATCCTGGCCGGGGCTTTGGCTAACCAGCTGTGCACCATTATGCCTTCCATCATCTGCCCTGAGCAGAGCTACTGTGTTCTGGGCAGGACCATCCAGGACAATCTGTTCCTGCTTCAAGACCTGCTAACGGCCACAGACCTCTTTGGCCTCAACATTGGGCTTGTCTCCTTGGACCAAGAGAAAGCCTTCAATCAGATCAGCCATGGCTACCTGTTTCAGACCCTTGAGGCCTTCAGCTTCAGGCCTGTCTTCACCTCTGCCCTCTGGATCCTGTATCAGGAAATTTCAAACCTCCTGAAGGTGAATGTTATGCTCTTTGCCCCGTTCCCAGCCTGCAGGGGCATCTGCCAGGACTGTCCTCTGTCAGGAATGCCTTGTTCATCAAGCCCCTACTCCATGCACTGCGGCGGCACCTGACTGGGCTAAATCTTCCATCTGCCTCTGTCTCAGCAGGCTGCCTGTTGGTCAGGCTAACAGCATATGAAGACAATGTGACTGTCCTCATCTGCACCCAGGGTGACATCCATACCTTGGTCACCTGTCAACAAGCCTATGAGCATGCCTCTTCAGCTCGTGTGAACTGAACCAAGAGACACACACTCCTTCTTGGTCCTTGAGACACACACTCCCCAACTTGCCTGGGTGTCTTACCTGGCATTGGGAGGGCCTTAAGTCCCTGGGGGTGTTCCTCGGGCCATCGGTCTTCTCGGCATGGAACTGAGAAGATCTTGGTGCCGAGGTGGAGGCACACCCGCGGTGGTGACGCTGGCATTTGCCCAGCCTTTACTACCACGGGTGGGTCCTTATTGTTAACAACCTGGCAGCTGTGATGTTGTGGCACCACTGTGCTGTGTTGGACCCCCCGCTGGACCTACTTGAGAAGCTCCAGAGACTTCTTGTGGACTTCTTTTGGGATGGGCATCACTGGCTCCCCAGAGCCATTCTTTATTTGCCAAGATGGGCCTAGGGGGGCCAGGGCTTAGCTGACCTGGTGGGCAGGGTGGCAGTCTTTTGCCTGCAGGCCCTCCAAAGGCTCCTCTACTGCGAGGACCCCTTGCCCTGGCAGCAGCTAGCTAATTTGTTTTTGCGCCAGGTGGGGGACCTTGGTTTTGACCAGGAGCTTTTCCTTCTGGACCCCACCATCCTGGATTGGGGTACCCTTCCGCCCTTTTATCAAAGCATGTTGCAGTCCTAGCAAGCTGCCTTCTGCCTCCTGCCCATGCTAGGCATCCGCAGTTTCCACAGTTACTGCAAGAGCCCCTGATCCATAACCTAACCCTGCAGTGAAGGCTACCAAGCCTTGCTGACTCCCTCTGGTCACATACCATCTGCCTGGGACAACTTCTCTACATGACCCGGTCAGACTGGTTGTCAGCCGAGGCTCTGGCCACCTGCTTGGGCATGCGCTCAGTCCACTGTGCTGCCCACTTCCTAAGGGATGTGTGGGCCATGCTCCTGGAGGATGCAGCAGCTGCCCTGGAGGAGCATCTTCGAGCATGAAGAGCCCTCCCTTCTGGGGATGTCCTGGCTGAGCTCTTTCCACCACTGCCTGTTGTCCCAGTTGTGGATAGTAACCCGGGTGGTGGGCCTGACACCTTACTGGCTTTCCCCATGTCTCCTGGCAGTGGTACTGCGATGCAGTCCCCAGCAAGGCCCTGTATCTGTGGGTGATTCAGGTCTACCATGCCCATGTCCTTGCCACTAGGCTCGACACATTGTGGTGGAGGCACATAGCAGTACCAGTGCTCATGCCAGCCCACCCCGCATGGCGCATGCTTTATAAGGCCCCCATCTCCAAAAAGACCAGTGACCTCTGGTGGCGGTTGTTACATGGGATACTGGCCACCGGCACTCTCGTGCACCACATAGACCCAGCTGCATCAGCAGCCTGCCCCTTTTGTCCAGGGGGAGTGGAGGAGAATCATTATCATGCTTTCCTCAGATGTCCCCGGCTGTCGCCGCTCTTTGCTGCCCTCGTTGCCTTTCTTGAGGCACTAGGCTTGACCTTCTCAGAGGCCATTTATTTGTTCTCCCACCCTTACTGGGTGGCTGTGGCCAGAAGTGGGACTCGGTGAAACCACATTGACTAGCATGCCGGTAAATAGAGCATGCTGGTTAATGAAGTGCTGAATAACTTGGCTTTTACTGTATATGCAGTTGTAATTAAGTATTAGAAAATCAGTTTAGACCTGAGGTTTTATGTGTACCAAATATTCCAGATATATTATTTTTAGCTTTGAAACCTGCTCTTCCCTATTCTGTGCCATCACTCTAAATATATATGCTGCTTACAGATGTAAAAGAAGCCCCCAAAAACTGCTTTACTTTAAACTCCATGCACACTTGCGTCAAGCCCAGCACATGGCAAGAAAGGGCATTGCGTTAGTTGAACCTGGCTTGATCAATGTCTGTATAGATTAGGCGTTTCAGTGGAGCTTTTATGGCACTATTATGTAATAGCAGATTGAATTAGCTTTAGCTAAAAGTGCCAAAAGCCCCACTGAAGTGCCCGATCTATACAGATGCTGCAGCGCCAGGTCAAACTAACATGCTGCTTCTTCTGGGAAAGTGCTTTCCTCCCTCTCCCCCACACATCTGTCAGCACCCATAATGTCACAAATACACACCTGATACAGATTATTTAAGATTAAAGTGGAATGGAGATGTAGGTAGCTAGATGACAGAATCCTAGTGGAAATCAGCAGTTGACAATACTCAAACATCAACAATTGATCTTAGACTTCGTCTTGCACTATAAAAGATCATTTTTCTTCTGCACTGGGCTCCTTCTAACTTAAACGGTTAAACATTCTCCCAGTAGACACATTTTGGAAATGTGAAGCATTGCAGGCAATGCTTGGTCACATGTTTTGGTCATGCCCTATTATCAGGGCAAATCTTTTGGAAAAAAATTAGAACTAGAGTTAGCATGGTTTTGAAGACAGCACTGATACCTTTGTCAATCGTGGGAGTGTGTAGACAAAACAATATTTCCCATTTATGTTGACTCAACTGTGTTTGTGTTTGCATGCCCTGCAACTATGTTTATATTTGGATTTCCCACCACTCTAAAGTCCATTTAGCGCCTTAAACTAACACTACTTGGAAATGTGTTAATTTGTGGTGCTCTCCAGTTACACCACTCCAACTGTGGATTTGTTCATTCAAACAGCCAGAGACTCCAAAGACTTCTAATTAATCCCCTTCACCATGAGGGGGCACTGTGTTCTGGCCTTTAGCCAGTAGGTACTGCCGTGTGTTCTTTTTTACTCTCTTCACTCCTCACCCCTCCCTCACAGCACACAGTTCAGGTCAGGACGAGTCCACTCAGACCAATTATTTTAAAATGGGGGAGACCAATAATCCCTTAATTTTCTACCCCTTCTTAATTTTTCTTCCCGCCCTGCCACCTATAGTGTATGCCCCCCACCCATGTACCCTCCTGTCCTCCCACCCCCTCCCCATGTACCCTCCACCTGCACCCCCCGCACCCTCCGTCATGTGCTGCCACTACAGGGGACATAGCTTCTGACAACAGCTGCAGCATCACCATAATGGTAAGTTTTTTGCAAATACTTTGAAACTTTGGAATGAGTGGTTATGTGACTTCCTCCAATTTTGCAATCCTTCTGAACTTCATCACCTTCCATTTCAGAACCATGACAAAAAAAAGTCTAAGGGCAGGACACCACCTGCCAGACCCAACACCCAGGATATGCAGTGTCCCTGGTGATATTTAGGTAATATGTCCATTTACTTTGTGTGGGGGGGGGGGCAAAAGTGTGGTTTTTCGACTGTGCTCCAAAACCCCCCTCCTCTTCCTTTTCTTCCTTTTCCCCCCTCCTTGCAGAAAATTTTTGAGGGCAGAACTCACCAGGGGTGGCAACCAGCCCACTAATGAATGAAGATAGTGAAGAGGAGAGTGAAATATCTTCAGATTTGGAGGTTATTTTTCTTACATTTTGTATATATTGTTAAGCTGCATTGTTTTCAATAAAGTGTTTTATTTTTGCTCTATATATGTGTCATGTTTTCTTTGGGGTAGGTTGGTGGGTGGGTTGGTTTTCATGGGGATGCTGTGCTTGGGGGGGCGGTTTATAGAGTCATGGCATTACTGGAAAGAGTTGCAAAGAGTTGCAGGGTGGATTGTTATCAGAGTGAGATAGGATGTAAGTGCCAGTTAGGGTGCAGCCAGCATTTCTTGTAAGCAAAAAAAATAACCCTACTCACCCCACAGCAGCAAGCAGGCAATCTGCAAAATTTCTTCATGCATGGACCTCCCAGGGCCTTTAGCAAGTCCTTGAAGATTTTAGTAAGTCTTTAATGCATTATAATGCATTTCATATGCATGGTCGCCAAAGGGGGTGGGGGTTGCGGTTAACGCCTGCTGCCTCAGCTCCAAAACAGCATCTGTTTTTCTGAGTTTTTTCTTTGCAGGATGTACTGTTATGGGAAGTATGATGCAAAAATGATTTTCTTTTCAATGCTTTCTTTGCAATGCGATGTTTTCTTTAAAAAATCCTGCATGCAGCACCTTTCGAACCTGGGTTTTAAGACCCCCCTTTCTCCCACCCCAGACTCCTGCATCCTGCTCCCCCCAGGGAGAGATCATCAGATTTTGTTCAGAATTGCTTTGTCCTCCCTTGCCATATTTCAGCTCTTCTCAAAGGACAGGGAGAAGGTGAGAGGGGAAATGAGGAGCAACACTCCCAAGGCAGCCCAAGGTAATCTCTTCAGCTACCTCTAGGCCTCTGCAGAATCAGTGTATACAAAGAAAGCATCATTGTTGGAGAACTTGTCACATCTTGCCTCTTGTCACACCAACAGGGATTGATCAACCTGTGGCTAGCAGCGGAAGGGGATCTAAAAACTGGAGGGAGGGAGGATAGAAAGAGTATCAGAATTTGTATTGATGCCTCTTGTGCACCTCACATACTTTCTTCACACCCATAAAATGATGCCAGCCCCATTTACAATAAATTTGAACTAAACAATGAAACCCCCCCAACCTATCAGGGTGCAGGGCAGTAGCATACCAATGGCAACAGGTGGTGTGGCCACCCCGGCATGGACATGAGGGCACCATTGGCAGGTGCAAAGTGGGTGCCACCACTCCATGCTGCTCTCGGCATCCCTCCCCCCTGCCTCCAAAACCACCTAAGAAGGTAGTTTGTCTGGGACGTGTGGGAGCAAGGGTGGTGGCACCCCGGGCTTGTTCTCCAAGCCCCAGAGACCCACGGTATACCACTGGCATGAGGCCTTGGGCAAGTTAGCACACCGTCATACAGAGCCAATCCTGCATGCCACCATGGCGACAGCAGGGAAAAAGAGTTAGCAAGCATCCAGATGCAAAGCCGGTGGTGGCACTGAGGAGTTGGCCTGTCTGCTCTTCCCATCTCTGAGAGGCCCCCAATGCCCTGTGCCTGGGGTGGTTGCATGTATTCATACCCCCCTAGGGATGACCCTGCCACCCTCAGGGCACAGGCAAGTGTCAGGTGTCACTTATGAAAGGTGGGGTGTCCTTTTTCAAGTCGCACATAGCAGAAGTGCGGGCATCAAATAGCACTCGAAGCTTTACTGCACCCCTCTTGATCAGCCTACAGTCTTCTCAAACCCTGAATTCACATTGTTATGCCCCCCAGGGGCAAGTCTCGTGACTGGGATGAGTCCTCTGCACCCACTGTGCTGTAATTCCTCACTCGCCTCAAACCTCCCTTGTCAATACAGCAAACATGCACCCCGACCTCTGCTCCCCCAATTTATACTGCTTCAGTGGGGCAACCCCCTCCTTGCCACCAGCAGCCTCATTTTGATGTGGAAAAAAACCCAGACACTCTGGCACCGGGTTGGAAAAGAAAGTGAAAAGAAGGCTGAAAAGTTTGCAAAATCCCTGGGATTGTGTGCAAGCAAAGCAGGTCTTAAATCCCATGCCACCGCTGCACCCATGGCCTCACTTCAGTGTTCCAAAATGAAGAAAGTGCCTCGCACCTGGCTGTAAAAGAGCACAAAAAGAACCTTGAAAAAGCACATTTTCAAAGTGTCCATCTAAGGAAAATGCAAGGAAGGCTTGTGAAGGGTGATCCAAAGAGCCTGGGAAGGCATGAGCCCCTGTGGACGACTTTGCAGAGTGGCTGGTGGCTTGCAAAAAAGCAAGCCAGGCTGCAGGGGGGTGACACACCAGCCTTTGCAAAATGCTTGTGTGCAGGCCAGCACTTGTGTGTTGTGACCCACCCAGGCAGCCCCGCTGTTTATCTCTGGAGCCCCCCTGTGTACCTGTGCAAGAGAGATAGCCAACCCCTCCCCGCCCCCAGCACCATGCAGCAAGCAACAGGAAAAGCCAACAGAGAAATGAACCCAAACAATGAACGAAATTCACCTTCGCAACCAAGCAGTGTAAGCTTGGATATGGAGGCAGACACAGGAAGCCTGGAAGCCATGAGGTTTTATTGTTTGTGTGCCTGTCTTCTCTTGATGGTACACTCCCGGGCCGCCTTCACCCGAGCAGCTGATCTTGCTCACCAGGGGCCTTCATGCAGACCCCAGAGGGCACCTCGGCTGTCTTCAGGGTGAACCCCAAAAGCACCTGCCATGACTTTGAATGGTTCTTCAGTGGAGGGGGCCCCCTTTAAGGGTGCCTCCAGAGTTGTCACACGTCTCGGCAGACGTTCACGGGACTCCAACCTCCCCTATACCCCGACCATGCGCCACCCTTTGAGATGGGGCTCCAAGTCTTTTTTTCAGCTATTCCCCACTGGTATCTTCCCTGGTCTCCGCATTGCCTCTTGGCAATGACCACCCAGGGCCCTGGCGGAACTCCAGTGGGAGGGTCTGGTGACTCCCGGTTGTATTCTTTGATGCCCTGAGCCTTCTGTGTCTGCTGGCAATGGCCGTTGCTGCGTTCTTACGTGGTTCCTCTCTACCCCTTTGACAGGGTCCCATCCACCCTAACCTGGTGCTAAGGACTCGGCAAATCTACCCTCGCCAGGGGACTGAAATAGACTGGCCCAAAAAGGCGAACACTATGAATGCCCTGACCATAAACCCCTAGCCCTAAAACTCCCCAACATAAAATGAACAAACCAACAACACAACTACCAGAGAGGCGTGACAGAAAAGATCAGAAGGGGGACACCGAAGGAAACTGAGCACCCACAGTGAGAGCCCCATCCACCCTTAGCCCCTAACGCTCCTAGGCTAGTGCGCCCTCTGGGCCGGGACCCGTGCTTTCACCCCAGCCCAGGGTCTCTCTCTTTCCCTCTGGGCTCTGCCTCTGCCCTGGGGCTGCAGCCCCCGTTGCCTCTGATTAGAGTTCCCATGCCAGCTGTCACAGTGGTCACTGCTGATCTCTCCACCAGCTCCTTTAATCCCCGCCGGGCTTCTCCGGCACTGGGGTTTCCCACAGCTGCTGTCGCTGCCATTGCCGGCCTCCCTGCTGGCTTCCCAGCCAGCATCCTCAATCCCCATTGGTCTTTTTATCTCCCATGCTTTTTATCTCCGCCGGGTGGCATCTCCTTGTGACATCACCCAGTCCCAGCTGGATATGGGTGCGGCTGATGAACTGCATGGGCAGTTTCCCACCGCGCGTTTCTTCGCTTCTCCTGGCCCCTACAACAGGTATGTTGTTGTTTTCTTTTCTTTTACTTTGGACTGGGGTTTGCCTCCATGCACTGCTTCCCCCTTTTCTGGTCCTGTGTCCTTGGGACAGTTCGCAACACACTATTATAGTTACTTGTGCTTCTTTGCCCCCCACCATGACCCTAAACTGGCCCTGTCTCCCTGAAATGCAGCGGTGCCCTCCTGGTCCTGCTGGCAGTCATATGGGCCTCATGTGACCCCACTGAGTTAGGGTGAACAAGCTTGCTTGTAATTTTCCACTCATCTTGCCTCTGACCAACTTTTCCCTTTTGGGTGTGGTGCCCGTTTATTGAAGAGGTACTTCTGCACACTCTGAAAGGCATCATTGAAAGTGTCCTGTGACCTCTGTTATTCAACACCGGATGCTTTGACCACATCTTTGAAATTCCACATGGTGTTTCACACTTCCTTGAGAATGGAATCATTGTTATGCAATGACTCACAGAGTTCATCCCACCAGGCATCTGTGTGTTCTGCTCTGGCTACTGAGGAGTCCGCCAAAACCTCAAGCGAGGTTTTGCAGGACCATCTCTGCTTGTTGCAAAAATTTCTGCAGCGCTCTGCCATAGTGCGAGCAGGGCACCGTTCTGAGCAGCCATGGGTCGAGGTGGCTGATAATCAAAGAAAAAAGCAATGGTTGTCTTCCCCCCAAAAGGAGGAAAGTACACGCCCCACCCCCACCATGAGGCACACAAAATGCTGGCAGGCACAGAAACAGACCACACAACACTGGGGCACCACTCGTACTGCCCAAAATTTACAAGTACTCACTTCAGAAACAGGTCCACAGCTGCCACTGCCTATGCTTGCTGCAAAAAAATAAAGCACATAATTAATTTGGTGTCTGGATGAGCTATCGAACCCATCATGCACCACCACCAAAAGAAGATGGCAACGCACCTACAGCAACACATGAATTTCTCCCCCTCCCCACCGGCCCCCTAAACCCAACCAGCACAAACCCGGGAGTTGCCTGGCAGTGGCAAGAGGCACATTACAAGAGATTTACCAGGTCCAGCATGTTCTTGGGTCTCGGTAACAGTATTGGCCACATGGGTTTCTTCCTGACCCTCCACCTCCTCAACTTCATTATCTGCGCTAGTCCGTGGAATGGGGCTAAGTGGCACTAAGTGTATACTGACTGATGGTTCTTCCTGTCACTCATGGTCATCAGGGAGCAGGGAGTGGTCTCCATACAACTGAGACATGGTGCTCATGGTTTGACCCTCAGGAAAGGCTGCTGCCACCGCCACCTCCTCTTCCTCCTCCTTGTCCTCCTGCCCTATCCCGGTGCTGAAAGTCTCCATACCCAGGTTGTC